AGGCACACATATATCACTATGATATGATGTTTTTAATGTCATCAACCCTATACCATGTTCACCACAAATATTCCAAGCAAATGAACTTAAATTTAGCAATGTGACACTTCACGCCTTCTTCCACAAAGCATTTCAGGCTATTCATAAAGAATATTCCTTATGACAAAAGAGAGAAATTCAAATTTAAAAAATCAAGACAGGAAAAATATAGAATTGAATGTCAAAGTAATACCACATTCTTACAGGGGTAACTGGAGGCAATTTTGACCTTAAATTAACTGAAGGTGAAAGGAGAAATATATTGAGTATATTTAACCACATGCAGAGCTTCACATTGCAATGTGTACATGTCCTGAGTGAAGGGCGTCAAGTCTGCCTTTTCATTCAAAATTCATGTTACCTTTGCTGTCTAGAGTGTTCTGAATTTACATATATATATATATATATATATATATATTCATATAAATCATAGGAGCTATAAGGGAGAAATCTGTATGAATGAGCTTTGAGTTCAAAATTTTGGTGAAAAGATATTCTCTGCTGCTTAGCATACAGGAAGAGTTAACTTTGATTGTAAAGTGTTATTATATAAAAATTATACACCTGACAATTTCACATGACGTGTGCAGACCCAGTCATATAGTAAGTAATGCATCTTTCTCACTAATACACAGAAAAACTAAGTAATAGTTTGCTAATTTTTATAAGGGCTGACTAAACAATAGACTGTATTGTCTAGATTTAAGATTCCAATTAGATTACTGTTTGTTATTAGGCTTTTTGATCATTTTATTTCTTGGAACAAATTGTATGTTTAGGAATTTATTGAATGGTTGGCATAAAAAAATTGCTAAAATACTGTGTTATATGAACTTAAATTTGGATGTTTAAATTTGTAGTCTAACTTCTTCTAAGCATATGGACATAAGGTGGTGCCACAGAGTAGAAAAATTCTTTAGATCTCAAAAAACAAAAACAAAACAGAATAAGGAAGTACACTCTTGAAGTTTTTGCAGCAGATACAATTTAAAAAAGATTTATATTGATCAATAAGAATTATTTTTGCAATCTCATTTTTGTGAGACTTTAAATTTTCAAATCCAAAATATAGTTTCCTGCATATTATGTGTGGTTTAGCACATTTCATGCTCTGTCTCCCTGTAGTAGTTTAAAAAATACGTACATGTATATTAGTCATGCCGTTTCTCTAGTGTTAAATCCAAACTAAAACTAACACATATAAAAACTGAAACAAGAAATTGTGAGGTATTTCCTAGATATTCTGTCGGATCCAGGGCCTCTAAGCCCAGTGATTCCAGTCTACGACAAGATGATTTACACAAGCTGACCTAGCCGACAGATAAATGTCACTTGGGGCTCTCTGGATTTCAGGTGTCTGCACATGACCTTAAGCATGTCAGACCCTGTAACAGAAAATGCACCCGCTCCCCCTATTTAGCATCTTTTAGTTTCTTAGTTGCTCTGTTAACAGATCCTGTTCCAGTTCCGGCTGCTCCTGTCACTTAGAAACGTCTGGTCACTGCGATGCACAGCTGCTCACTACAACCCGCGCTGTATAAACCAACCCCCAGTGGCGGCCGCTCTGCCTCTGCATTTCCTGCTTGCTCATCCCACGTAAGCCCTCCACCACCAGAGGCAGCGCCGGCTGTTCTGGGAACCACCCTAATCAGTGCACACTGATGGAAAACAAACCTGCCTCCAAGTCCTGTAATGCCTGTTCTAGCAGGCAGGTGGGAACATGGGGTGAAGTCCCCAAAAAAGATGCTCAGAGTTTACAAACCACAGCAACTTGCTTTTGTAGGCAGAGACTAAATCTGTAAACACACGGAAGGAAAGTCTTCACCAGCTAATCTGAATGGCGAATCTGGTGAAAAGATCACGGAGTCTTTCTCTCAAACAGGCACCGAGGGTGCCCCAGACAGAACACTGGAGCATGAAAAGCTCCCGCGCCCACATGTCTATCTTGGAGAATAGGGTAGAACAGCAGGCCACAGCCTTTGGGCTCCAGGACCTGGTTTCCTGGAAGACAGTTTTTCCATGGCACCTGGATCGCTAGCACTTGCATTTCACAGTAGAGAGTCTAAGCTGACTGACAGATCTGACAGGAAGTGGAGCTGGGCTGGCCATCCAGAGGGGCACAGGCTGCCAATGCAAAGGCAGCCTGACTGCTATTCTACCTGCTGCGTGTGGAGGAGTTCCTAACCCCACTGAGGCCTGGGGTTCAGGAGCCAAGAGACGGAGGATTGACAGCACACGTGTCGTGGTCCTTTTGACCATTGGTACCTGAGATTTTTCTAGAATGCCTTCTAGAACTACTCAGAAAACATGTTACTGAGGAGGCAGTTGCCAGCTGTTTGTCTAACTGCTAAATAAATACTTGAAGAGGGATTTGGTTTCAAGCAATGGTACTGTGGGTCTCTAAAAAAGTGGGAAGAGACAGATATACCTAAAAATGCTAGTGACTTAAATACCAGGAATTCAAGTTTTTCTTACAGCTTCTGAAGATCATGGTACTTCTTGAAGGCATTGGGAGGCAGTTTTCTTATGAAGTTCCACTGAAGTGACCTGAAACAGAGGCAAGTGTGGCTCTTAAAGGTTTTTTTCATTTTCTTCAAATTAAAACATTCATAATTATAAACTGTAGCTACTTTAGCCATATGCGTTCCGCAAGCATTTTACCCTGTGATGCCACTCTGTCAGCTTTGTGTTATTGATTAGTCTCATGTTTTCAAAAGCTTTGTGTTATGACATTGTAAGTCTGATGAGAGAATTTAAAAATAAAATCTAGAGAAACTTGATTTTCAACTATCTTTCTATTTTTATTTAATAAACTTTAGAAGACACCTCAGTGTTAAGTAACAACAAAAAGACTATTTTTGTTTAAAATACACAGGTCTTAATTTTTCAATATTCCATTGTCAATATTCCACCACCTTGAAAGTAGTTGTAAAAGAAATCATCAACTGGTGCCGATAGTTGGACTGCATTTATTGGCTAAGTGAACTCATTACAGTTTCTAGGAAGTTGAGTAGAAAATTTTCCTGTGTAATATGATTTAATAGACACTATGACATAGACCATTATAATGTGGAAAATAGACTAAGCGAATAAAAATCCAAGAACAATGTATTTTGTGTCCCTTGCACAAATCACCCATAACTTTTCCAGATGAATTTCTTTAACTTTGAAAAAATTAAAATGAGCTCTCTAATAATATAATGGCATTATTAATATTATTGTTATAACCTATGGTGGATTAGATGCTTATTGATATATGTCCAACAGACAGCACTGTCTGGAGATTAATTCAGGCTAAGGTGCTGTCAATCAATAGGTCAACAATGTTTAAATTTTGGACTAACATTGCTTAAATTTGGAGAACAATCATTCTTAAAGAAGATAATGTTGTGGCTTGCCTCCAGCTATCCCTGCAAAGCCTCTTGTGGTTCTAGGTGGAGATTTCAGAGGTGGCTGGACCTACTGTGTGTGAGGCTGGAACTGATTCATGGCTCATTGCTAGGAGTGAAGGTGCGACACCCTGGATGTGAGTGCTGCCTACCCTCCGGATGTAGCCTGGAGAGGATAGAAGGTACAGAGACAGGAGAGCTCACTGCTTTTGTTGCTTATTGCTTGCGCCTTTTGCTGCCTCCTGCCTGCAGTGAGCTGCTTCTCCTCTGTGAAGCTACCCTGCCTTGGAGCCAGCTGACTATGGACTGAAACTTGCACATACTGTGAGCCAAAGTCAACCTTTCTTCCTTTAACTTTGGATGTCAGCTCTTTTGTCTCAGGGACAAGATAAGTAGCTAAGATAGATAACTCAGAGTTTACAGAAAACATCTGTGCATGCAAGTTGAGAAACTATTCTAGAACCAGGAAGAGTATCCAGTCTCAAAGGGAGCGAGGATTAGTTCTTCGAAAGTGAGTCACCTCTAGACATTGCGGGGTACAGCAGAGTATACGTAAGGAGATCAGAGCATACTTAATTATCAAAATGTCACAGGAGAACAAATATAAAAAAAATCTAAAAATGCCCTCAAAATGGAAGGACAATATAAGAAGGTTAAAAACACTGTTCTAAACTATACGTATCATTTACTTGATGGTTTTTAAAAGTTAAATACACACCAAGGTCAATTATCTCTTGAAGTTACTCTGCATTGAGAATGTTTTTTCTACTAATGGTCCTTACTTGGTTTGTATCCCAGATTATATTTTATATCATATTTTGATATTTGTCTTGTATAAAGATACATTATGAAACATGTGGATTTGATCTGAGACTCGAAATGAAATTTTTTGTGTTATTAGAAATGTGTTCATTCATTCGTTTCCTCAAAAAGATGCCTGCAGTTTGTGCTTTGGAAGAAAAGACAGCAGCACCTTGCATATGACAGCCTCGTTCTCTCCGGATGTCAATGACATGACTCTATAAAAGGGGCGTGTCTTCAGTACGAAAGCCTAGGACCGCAAATTCATTCTTGTTGATACTATTAGCCTTAGCTCGTGTGATCCATGTAATTTTTGCATTAGTTAGAGGAGGGAAGGTGAGAAGTGACGGGAAGGGGATTTTGACAAACGAGAAAGCTGTGGTAGGTGCAGGACACAGAAGCCCTGCCCATGATAACTGTGAGCTGCACGGACTGCAAATATGTCATGATAAAATTCAAACAATGAAGTTCAATAAGCTTGGTTTCCTTCTGTTGATTGAAACCTACTTGACAAATATTTATTTAGAGCCTATTACGCTGCTAGAAATTTTGGAAGGTATATAGCAAAATCATGGAGATGATGGTGTTTCCCCTTTTGATGTACGAGTAGGAGCCCAGTGACTTCGCGAGGAGGCATGATTAACATACTCCAAAGTTGCAACGGAGGTTCTGTGGACGAGCGCAAGGGGCGGACGCTAAGTGCACCTCCGTGTGCGTGTGTGTGCGTGCGTGCGCGTGCGCGCATTACCGTTATGGGAAGCGATATTCCCGTAAGGACACATACATAATGCTTCTTCAAAAGCTAAATCTGTATGAAGACAGAATTCCTAAGGTTTAGAGGCTACTTTTCATGTGATCTAAGTATTTTCCCAAAATAGTGCTTCCATTTCCAGTATTGCATTGAACTGGAGAGAGGGGATTATTATTTTCACTGCTGAGGATAATTAAAGCACTTCCAAAATGTAACAGATTCTTACGTGTGAAACTTTGATGTCACGGGTATGACTTTTCGCATAATTCTTTATGTATAGTGTGGCAGGGAAACACTGCCTTGTTTTATAAGCCCTGCCACAGATTGCCCCAATTTTGAAAAAAAAAAAAGATATAACTTTTGGACCTCACAGTTGTTTGTAGTGACTCAATTCTTGATCTTAAAGGCCAACAAAGGTCATGCTTAATGAGTTAGAACAATGTATAAATATTTCTGTCTTTGTGTTTGGCTATTTCATTCTTTAACATTTATGTGAAATGCTTTCAATAAATTCAGTAACCGTTCCTTGTATTATTGGCTTTTTAATACTTTACTTACGTATGATTTAGTCTGTTTTTGACATTTCATTATAATAGTTTTAACTTGAACTTTACAAAACTCAGTAATGTAATGTTTAGTTTTCTAATGTATTTGATATCAAGCCTAGAGTGCTTCTCCCCTATGGAGCTGAGCAAACAGACTGGGATAAGGCATGAAGCAGCTCTGCAGACAAAAGCAGAAATGGATAACTGGAACCAAGCAGTCCAAGCCAAAGTATAGAAGGATGCTACTTCTTTTCGGTATTCCTGAATCATCCTAGGACCCTGCCCATCATCAGGGCTCTGCCACTGAGCTACTCTCGGCCTACAATGCCATTTTTAATGTATTTAGGACAGGATCTACAGGGTCTACAGGGTCGCACTATGTAGATCAGACTCGTAGTGATCCTCCTGGTTTCAGCCTCCCAAGCACTGGGATTACAGGTGCATGCCACCATACCATCTCAGTCACTGCCTCAGTGTGCCCCATTTTGGGGCCAGCATGGCATGCCCAGGATCAAACCTGGCTGCTGTGCTCTGCTTAAGAAGGTGCTTTAGTCTGCTAAGAATCTGACTGGCCACAATGCCATCTTTTAAGAAAGAAAACAGAAAAAGTTGTGGACACTTTTTAGCCTTATGCCTACGTCTCCAAATGCCTGCTGCAAATTTCCACCAAGTTACCAGGCAATCTCAAGTTGAATAAAAAGGATCTCACACTAGAATACTAATCATCCTCACAAACTGTCCTCAAGTGTCTTCAACTTATTGTTTATTTGCTGTACTGAGGATTGACTTGGGGCCTCACAGGGCCTAGCAAGCGTGCTCCCACTCAGTGACAACACAGCCTTTTCCATGCTTTATTTTGAGACATTGTCTCACTCACTTTCCTTCACTGGGCTCATCCTCTTAAAGTGGCTGGGCTTCCAGGCATAGCTCACTTCACCTAGCTGATTTTTAAATACCAGTACTGAAAACTGGAAGGCCAAAGACCTGCACGCACTGTCTGTGTCTATGTCTGCATGTAATCTATATCAGTGTAAGTATTAGGTCAAACAATATTTTAAATTGAGTGAAGGGAACAGTCAAGGGAATCACTCACTGTCTGGGTGGGCTTGCCCTTCCTGAGCAGTCGCTACCTTACTGCCGTCTGTGGCACCAGCCGTTTCCTTCTGTATTTCTCTTTTACGAGGTTAGGAGAACTGAGAAGGATTCAAATCTTATTTGTGGGAAAATGAAGAATGAAATTGGCGAGATCAGTGTATTCTTTGACTTGGATTTCTAGTAATTTGATATAAGCAGTTGGAGTGATATTTTATGAAAACAAAATGAAATTATTATAGATTAATATATTTAGTATTTCCAATTAATTTTTTGCTGGGAGGGAGACAGGGTCTTATTGCGTAGGCCCTGCTGGCTTTGAACTCACTACTCTATACAGCCCAGACTGGCTTCAAACTTGCAATGATTCTCCTAACTCAGATTTCTAAGTGCTGGGATTACCTGTGTGCCACCATGGAGCACCATTTAAATTTAAATCGTGGACGATCTCCACAGGACCTTAGTTTCTTTGGGGGATCATTACGTTTACCTACGAGGACCAATGACTATAAAAAGAGGTGAGGACAGGAGAGGACAGAGTGCAGGAGAGCCTCTCTTTTACTTTGGCTCTGGGGGATGTTGCCAACAAGGGTTTATGGATTACCCTCCCAATGTCCTCAGTTTTCATGGCCCCACTCTCTATCGGGCCTCAGCACGCGTGATCTTCCACCCCTCCTATGTCAAGCATTTGTGTTGCAAGTGCGGTTTGTCCTCCTTTCTTGAGCTACCCCTCCTTTGAAAAAGGTAAGACTTGCTGACACTTGTAAACTCAAGGATTGTTTCTATTTATCTCCATATACCCAAATGTCAAAGCCATAAGATGCTGAAACATCTGGATTTAAAAAAAAAAAAAAACTTGGAAAAATTTTGATTAAAGTAGCCATGCTTGTTGATCTCTTTTTAACAGTTTTGGTGAAGTGTGTGTGCTTATGTCATTAAAATCAGGTGAGATCACATTTGTACTACGGGACACTTAGAACCTCAAGTACTAGAAATCAACAACTGTTTATTATGAGAATACTTTCTTTTCATCCATAAGTTTGAATTACTTAGAGAAAACACCATCAGAATCTTTGAATAAAAATGTGATTCAAAAGTTACTATAAATGCCATGTTCCAGGAATATTTCATCCAGGTTATTTTACTTATTTTACTTTGTCTGCACATACAATATGTGCAGACTTATATTCAGTAAATTCTTAAAAAGTTCTTTCGAAAAATGTCAATGAATAAATCTGTTATTGTTTAAAGGCGGTTTACCTTTTGTTCAGATAAGCTACAGTGACACTGAACACTTCATAAGATTCTTATGAGGGATTCATTAAGTTAATCCATGGACTGGGTGAAGGCAGAGGGTTTGCATTTGGCAAATGCAAATGACCAGGATGGGTCATCTTAACTGATCCAGGAACAGGGACACTCTCACTGACAGAGGCGCATTCTTGGCCACCGTACAGTCTTGGACGGGGTCTCGGCAGAGCCACCCCGATGCTGAGGGCGAGCCCTCCTGTTCTACTTACATCAGAGTCACATTTGAAGAAACTGATGGGACAGCTCGTAAACTGGCTTCGTCACAGTCAAGGGCTAGACCACCGCACCAACAATGCCTGGGCACTGAGCCAACCACTGAACAGAGAGAAGTGTGCGGAGGGGTGGAAGCGAGGGGCGGGAAGGGAGCAAGAAAAAGAAAGAAAGGAGAAGCGGTGAGAACGTTACCTGCTACAGGGCTTGTCTTTCCCGAGCCATTTGAGCAATGCTTTAAATTCAGGTTCCAAAGTTTTCTTTTAAGTTTAAAAGATGCTAGACGATGAACATTTGGAAGTACACACATTTGCTAGCCCATCATGGTTTTCTTAAACACCGAGTTGCTCTTTTCCTTTTGTAGCAAAATGAATGAAATTGTCAGCTCTTTGGTCACCAAAGGAAGCAGGGTCTGTGTGGTGGGATTGAATGATCCTGGGAAAACTAGCTGAGAATTAATGGCATCATCAAAGCCTTTCAAAGAGCACTGAACAATACAAGTGAAGGATAGGATTGGTAGCTTTCGGTTTCCTAGATAATTCAAGCATTTTTCAAAAGATGCCTTTAAAAATGCTCTTCCTTTGGCTTATGTAGAGACGCAGGATGTCTAAACTGTCACCTAGGGGAGGAGTACTGCCTTTTCATGGTGGGGGTGTGGGAAGGAGAGGGAGGAGAGCCCGTGCTTCTGGCCATTGTGGGCTGAGTCCTGGAGCCAAGGCAAGACTCAGTGGACCTGCAGCCTTCCAGGCACCTGGGACGATGTTCCCGTGGAAAAACAGTGCAACGGGGTGATTAGCCGGCGTGCCCACTGCAGTCTGATTCCTGCCCTCATGCGAGGGCTACGATGGCATTGAGGGTGCCTCGGCTCTGCATTTGCTGCTGGAACTCTGAGCTTTCCAGCAGGTGCTCCGTCCCGACTCAGGTGTCTGGTGCTGCCGTCTGTGCACAGGTGACCAGGGGAACAACTTCCCCTAAACACCGCTGAGTCTGTTGGGAACATGCACAGCCAAGCCAGCCCTGCTTCTCACAGAAAGCAGAAGTGCCTTGCCTCATGTGGAGGTATTTTAAAACGTCCATAGCTACCTTAGAACATCACAGAACCAGCACAGATCTCTATGTGACTCTTCTGCCTGCTGGCTTCCAGTTTCTAGCCTTGCCTGCGAAACTTCCTGGGAGGGCGTGTGTCCAGTTCAGAGGGACAGGGCCCCTGTGAGTGGCCTTCTGAGAGCCTCCAGCCCCAGAGCGCAGCACGGAGTGCACCCTTCACTCAGGTGCAGGGGTGACAGGCTTCCTCCCTTTGCCCAAGTAACTGCAAAGTCCTTCACCAGGCAGCAGGAGATCCAGGTCATAATGTAACTGTGTTCTCTGCAAACACAGAGCCTGCCCAGAAGTCCTCAACATCATCTAGCTGGAAGTACTCCCTGTGGCTGTGATCCCTGACAATTAATTCTGTCTCCGAGTGAATATCCTAGGTAGTGTGGGAGTGCCTGTCTTGGGATGGGATGGTGGAAGGAGGGCGGGAAGAGGAAAGTCTCGAGAATGGAAAGGTAGGAGGAACAGGGAAGGAAAGCGGCAGAGTCAGCATCAATTTTAGCGGTATAAATAGTTGAGATATGAAATGCATTGAAATATATATATATTTGAATACATATTGCATATATATTGAATTAAGAAAATCCATATATGTGGAGGAGAGGGTTGTCCTTAGTAGGGAAATGTGGAACACAGCCTGTAAATGTTACTTACAAAATATATTTTCTGAACCTGTGCATGTTTGTGACCTGTGCATGTATGTGGTGAGGCCCATCCTGGGGCTTGTATGAGCTAGGCACATGGCACCCTAAGCTATGGTGCTAGCCCCACATGTTGCATTGATTTATTTATTTATTATATTTGGTACAGGGTCTCACTACATAGCTCAGATTCGTAGTGATTCTCCTGTCTCAGCCTTCCCAGTGCTGGGATTACAGGCATGCACCACCATGCCAAGTCTCAATGGCCGGGAGTTGGGTCAGAGTGGCATGTGGTGCTCAGAACTGAACCTGGGCTTGCCGAAGCAGGCTCTTAGACCACTGAGCTTGGACAGCTTAGACCACTCTCAGATCTCTGTGGCCCTGCTGTATATTTTTAAAAGAGCTCATAATTCTATGAATACCTGATTATTCTAAAATGCAAACAGAATATGCTACTGGAAATTGGTTCATATAGGAAATTTCAGTTTTTTGGGTTTTTTTTTTAAAGCATGAGTAATGCGTCAGTAAGTAAGTGCTGGTGGCCTCTGCACAGTGAACTTAGGGTTAGGCAAAGTCTTTATCAGACCTTTACATTTAAATTTTGATAATGTATCAGTTGTTCACAGAAATGATATCTTTCATGATGTTGATCTTGAGCAGGGAATGCCTTAACCATGGGAATTCCTCACAGTTACTCAGATACAAGTGCTTGAAAACTGTCCTCTGTTCAATTTCCAGTGAGTCCTTATAAGTTGATTGAATTAAGTGGCACAACAGGAATCTTAATTTAAGTTTCATACCCAGGTTTTACTGTGCACTTTTTATTCAATTTTCATACTGCTTTCAAGATCGACAAAGATATTTGATTATTGACAGCAATTTCCCATCCCATTTAAAGAATTCCAATTAAAAACCACACATTTGTTTAATAGTAAGTATCGATGAGAAATTTTTCTTCTGCGTTTTTCATCCATCATTTATTGTGTAATTTCATTCCTCTTCTGTAATTATACTTGAGACCAGTTTCTTCCAGGATGCAAGATCAGGGAAAAACTTGTTTCTCTTGCTGACTTGATTTGATGTGTCCCCGTTTGTTTGTTTTTGCTGTGCTGATCAGGCTGTGAGAGTTATACAATGCCTTATTTTGATCTAATGGCTACAAATTCAGAACTAAGCTTCAGATACAGTTGCTGACCTCTGCACGGTGGGGAGGACAGTCTCACGCAGAGCTTCTTTGCCGTTGCTCTTCCCCTGACCACTTGACTACTGCTTCCGTCTTACAGCAATAGTTTAAGCTATTACTCAATGTTAAATTTTTTTTAAAGCTTTTTCTTTTATTTATTTATTTTATTTATTTATTTGTGTGTGTGGCCAGCTCAGCCCACCAGGGGGCGCGGCTGGCTGGCATGTGGTGCTGGGGGATTGAACCGCGGTCCCTGTGTTTTGCTAAGCTTGTTCTAAGTAGGTGCTTTAGACTACTGAGCCATCTCACCAGCCTCAATGTTAAAATTTGGGGGAGGAGGAGGAGGAGGAATAAAGCGAGAGATATAAATCATTCAACTAAAATTTAAGAACTGCAGGCTGGGGAGATAGCTCCATAGAATAAGTGCTTGCCTGGCAAGCACAGGCTCCTGTGTTCAATCCTTGGCACCGCAAAAAATAAAAATAAATAAGGTAAAATAAAAAAAAAATAGGGGAACCACCTGCTTGGGGGCACCCCCTCCTGTCCCTCTCTCAGGCAGGAGCTTTCTTTCCCCCAGTGCATATATTCTGCTCATAAAAAAATAAATAAAAAATAAAATAAAATTTAAAAACTGGAATCCATGTGCAATAAAAGAAAATAAAATTATATTTTAAGATAACACTGTTCAATGATTGTGATATTTTACATTATGTTAGCACGCAAATTATACTTGTTAGCTTTTATCTTTCTATAAGCTTTTTGCTTTTTAATGATCAAATTATTTGGCCCCCTTCCTCTGGAATGCCCATGGGCTACTTAGTAAAATATTATTAATCTCATTTGAGTAGCAAAAACAAAAACAAATTAATAATTTGAAAAGTTGAACTCTACAATTTGTGGAAGATAATAAAGGAAAAAAATCTAGAGTAAAGGGTATCTCCCCTTTCCCCATCTTTGCTTTTTAATCTCTGTTTTGAAAACATAGGATTGAAATTACAGGTCTGAGTTATATAATTATATCTGCATGATTTATTAAAATAGGTAAAATTTATTTACAGTATCATTTTGATAAACCTTTCTGTTCTAAAATATCATAAAGGTATTATATATAAACCCTCAACTTTATATCCTTTTCATACCCTTCTATTTGTAAGATTCACCTATATATGACTGAAAATACCAGGTTAGGATTAATAAGGATTTGTAGCTGTAAAACATAGATTAGACCCCAGAACACTTTTTTGCTTGCAAATATTAAAATCAAAACAACATCACTGCCTTTCAGTTTACTCATTTTTTTCCCTCGAAGTTCTTGTGCCCAAGGAATTTATGTAAAACAGCACCTCTGAGCACTAACCTCAGTTCAGTAGTTCACATCACAGTACCTGACGTAATTGTTGTTACACTTAGGATCCTTGAATCATTTGAAAATATCCCCCCCAAATTTAAGGGTACATCTCTAATAAAGCTTGCAGCTACAGAAGCACAGTGAGCCCTTTTAGAACACCATAGTAGACGACTACTAAAATCACAACGTTCTGTGATGAACTCACAGAAAGGCAACCCAGAGGCAGTGGTTACTTACAGCATTCGGATGTTTCCATGTCGAAGGGATACGGGGAACTCATTTGGTAATAACTGGCAAAATATTTGTCAAGTTGCAGAGACCATCCATTGTTGTCTCCTAAAAACAAAAGCAAAGGGGAGGCAGGCTTAAGAGGAGAAGGATTTTAGAGTGTTGGTGGAAGCAGGCACCTAACCCAAACATTGTGAGGCCAGCATCACTTGGGAACTTGGTGAAGACGCAGCCTTCCACAGAGGCAAGAGTGGGGCCAGTGAGCGCCTCTCTAATTAGCACCAGCGTCTGAGCCTGGGCAGTCCCTGAAGCCCATGTGTGGCAGGCTTAGCCCCCAGTGTGGAGAGGAGGTGGAGGACCCTTAGGAGGTCTTGAGGACAGGGGCCCAGGCCTTGAGGGGACTGTGGGGTCCCAGCCCCTTCCTGCCCCATGCTTTCGCTCATGGGCACAAGAGCATGGTTTTTGGTCCATGCTACGCTGCCTCCCCTAAGAGCGGCAAGGTCTGTGCCTCACGGAGAGATGCCTCCAGATCTGTCAGCTAACATCCACCTATCCACCGTGTGAGCTGATTCATGCCAACGTTCTAGTGGCAGAAAACTGTCAACACAGCCCAGGGTGGAGCAAGTGGAGAGGCCTGTGCATATGGATGTGGAGCCTGGAAGGGGATAGGTCCCAGGAGATGTGGTTAAGGGGCCGTCAGCTGCAGAATTCCTGTAGGGACACATCACAAGCGGCCTCAGCCTCCTCTCCACAACTGTTGGGGCTCATGTTCCTGTGGCACAGAGCCAGAAATGCTCTGAACTTTGCATGGCTCCTTGCAGCCAGCCTTCGGAGGTACTCACACACATTTTACAGGGAAAAGAGAACTACGAGGGTTCTGTGAGGTCACATTCTTTTAAGATGGGGAGCAGAATGAGGACAGGCAGAGAACAGAATGCCAGGGGACAAATCTTCGAAAACCAGAAACAATAAGAAGGACTCTGTCAACACATTAGAAAGCCAGCAGATGAAGGCTAGCCTGTCCTACAGAGGTCTACAGTCACCTTCAAGCCAAAAGCACAGGATCCCGGTCAGTATCTAACCTCATGTGCATTGCAGCTTTGACCCTCTGGTGGGCTTTGGATGCCAAGATGCTTCCTCTAAAATCCTTGTATGGTCAGATTCCTCCTCCCCTTGGGTGGGCTGAGTCAGGGCTGCGAAGGCCCAGCCATGGATCTGCCCACAGTCCCAGGACCTTAGGAGACTGAGGGGCTGCTCCCAGCAGGGCTCTGAACTCCTTTCCCTGCCTGCTGCCCCAGCTCATGTGGTATGTTTTCACGCTTAGGAACGCTAACTCTCCTTCATTCCTCTGGGAGTCGTGCTTGGTTCTCTGTTCCAGACACCAGGAACCTGGAAACAGCTACCTTGAGACTTTCTATCTTCTGACACCTCTGTTTTAGTGGGAAAGTTGCAGGCAGCATGTAAGACCCAAGGAATTAGCACTCAGCAAGCGCACACTGTGCTTTACCAGACTCTGCTTTATGCTTACAACTTTAATTGGCCACTATGCCTGCCTGCATCCACAGATGGAAAAACCAGTAGTGACAATGATTTGGCTTAGAAACAGAATTAGTAAAAATAACTAAAGCATGAAAATAATAAAATTATTCTTTTTCCAGTTCAGAAAAGTTAGTCAGTTTGTAGCTCACCTGCACATGTCCAACTTTTGTATTCACCAGGTTCACACACCGAGCCGTTGGCACTTGTTGCCTAGTTTTCTGTCTATTTCATTTCTGTTACTGAGGCTTGTGGGGGCTCTGAAGCTGGGGCCCGAGAGAGCAGTGCTCGGGCTGAATATGCTGAACTGAGGGGCTTGGGGGACCTTCAGTTGCAGCCTCAGAAGCATAGTCCTTGCTGACCTTCTCCTGTCTTCCTATGTCCCCTGCCTCTTTTTCTCTTTTCCAAACTAGAGTTTCTATTCCCTAGCATCAGTCATGAGAATTAGAAACCCTCTCCCCAGAGACAGTCATAAAACCTAGAGATGTCACTCTAATTTCCCCATTTTTCTGCAGAGGGACTGACCATGAAGACATTCTCTAACCAGCCCTGTCTGATGTCATAAAATCTCACTCCAGAAGGAGTCTTATTCCATCTGGGAGGAAGGAGCACTCTACAGAGGCCAGGAAGAATCTGAACCAGACAGCCTTGCTGTGTTTCTTTGTCCTGTCCGTCAGTACTGGAACAGTGTTTTGTTTTTAGTACAGTCCTCCTTTTATGGGGCTGACCATTCTTCAAATCTTGACAAAAACAATTCACCTGGGCTTTGGGACCTTGCTTTCTAAAGACTCCTGTGTCACGTAAAACCTTGATTAAAAGAATATTTGATACCCCTGTCTTATTGACCCATCTTTCCCAAGGGAAAGCACACCACGGGGCGGGAGGAGAGGACCCACCTCCCCCCGAGTGCTGGCCTGCACATCTGCAAGGAGTGAGTTACACAAAGAGTCCCTTAAGTTGGAATCAGAATTAATTCCAGCTGTTAACTGGAAGGTAAGTTCATCACTGTTTTTGTTCATAAAGTCAATGAAAATATTGTAGAGCATCATGGCATTACTGAAAAAATACAAAATAAATTCATTTTTAGCGTAATGTTATGATTTGCTGTAGATTTATGAATATGATGGGTGAAACATGGAAGCAGATGAGGTGTTTGGCTCCGGGGGTGTTAGGAAGCGACTTTCCCTGTACCCAAGGTGTTCGGCATCTTCAGAAGGCTCCTGAGAAGTAGGCCGGCAAGGGCGGAAGGACTCGCCCTTGCAGGCCGCTGGGAACTCTGTCACTCTGTGGTGGAGCAGGAGTGCTTTCTCTGTGCTGTTCTCGAATTTAGTCTTGAGGCTTCCATCTCTACTCCAGAAACAGTGGTGGAAATTAAGTGAAATGATGGCGTCCTAGAACCTAGGGCTTTTTAGGGGCAGTGTTTCATGGCTGCTATAAAATTGATGACGTGAAGAGCCGGGTGATAGCAAGAAGCTGTTGATTGACTGTTCTGTGCTTTGTTGGTTGAACTATAATGAGTGGGCTCTTTCTAACGCTGCATTTTTACCACTAATATGTGGTTCAGCGGCTTAAGTCCTGGCTCAGTACCCTCTCCTGACACGGGCTCTTCTTCCTTGCTCCTCCTGTGCTTCTGCTGTTTTAAGGAGGGCAGTAGATGTGGCCTTGGTGGCAACATTTTAGTTCAATGCATTCAAGCTATGTAGTCAGCTATTTAGGCTTCTCAATCTTCCCTCTCTCCTTTAGGTGGTGTTGGAGACAGCCCAGGGCCTCACTCACGCTAACCAAGATCTCTCCCACTGAACTAACTTTCTTTTGTTTCTTTCTTTCTTTCTTTCTTTCTTTCTTTCTTTCTTTCTTTCTTTCTTTCTTCTTTCTTGTATTGTATTTTAAGGAAGGGTCTACAGGGTGTTCAGGATCTCACTACTAGATCGGACTCATAGTGATCCCCCTGTTTACAGCCTCCCAAGAGCCGGGATTACAGGTGTGCACCATCACCCCCAATCTCAATTGCTGTCTCAGCACACCCTGGGGGTGGGGCCAGCATGGCAGGCCTAGGGATTGGACCCCGTGCCCTTGAGCCTGCTTCCAAGAGCTACATCTTTAGCTCCTCTACTTATTTTTCCCTTCTCTTCTCTCTCTGCCCCTCCCCTCCCCTCTCCTTCCCTTCCCTTCTATTCTTCTTCCCCTTCTCTCTCTCTCTCTCTCTCTCTCTCTCTCTCTCTCTCTCTCTGTCTCTCTCTGTCTCTGTCTCTCTTTCTCTGTCTCTGTC